TGAATAGTGGTGATTAAATAACAATAGCTGATAGTCAACAGGTAAACAAGGATCTGCCCTTAACAGACACTGGCTTCAATAAACATATGCTTGAATATTCTGATAGGGATGTTTGTTAGCTGGTTGATCCAGCCGAAGTTGGGGACTTTATATGGGTTTTTTATTTAGATGTAAATACTGTAGGTTAGGGAAAGGGAATATTTTCTCCGTTGTAGTCGGTCTTTCCACTGCCATATACCAGCCTTGATGGTGCTTGTAAAAATAATGTCACATGCTACACAATTGTCTATGCCTTTCCCTGTAAGCCAAGGATAATACCCTGCTAATAGGGAATTCCTGATTTGCCATTGGTTACAGTGGACATAATCTAAGGTCAGAAATTGATCCCCTTGGGGTCTCTTTCAGTTTTCTGCTGCATAACTAATGTCATAGACTAGCTTTTAATGAGCCATTGTTGCTGGTCTTGAATTCTGCTGCTTTGGGGGTGAAGCTATTAACTTGGTGCTTGGCTTGTATATGTTTCCTTCTAGGCTGCACGGGTCCACTCAGAACAGGCAGGCAATAAATGCGGACAGTTACTAAGTTGCGATAACAACGAGCAAGTTCTAGCTGAGCAGGACCGCCCAGAAAATCACCTTTCCCAAGGGACACATGATTTTGACTCTGGAAGTAAAGAGCAATCAGCTCCAGTGATGTACTCACAACAGGTATCATTTACTGAAAAGTCTAGCCACTTGGAAGAAGATACGAAATCTGCAGCAGCAGCAGTGGCAGCAAAGCTTACAGCATCATCATCTTCAGCCCAGATGTTAACTTTTGTCCTGTCTTCCCTGGCGTCAGAGGGTGTTATAGGCAATCCAGTCAAAGAATCTCCCAGTGATTATCCGTCTGAAAAAAGACCTAAGCTTGAGAATGATAGGTCCTCTTATGTTCCTTTGCAAAATTCTGAAGCTTTCCAACAAAATATCCCCGTCTTTTCCCAGGATGTGACTTCAAATGAACAACCGCCACCCCCATCATCTCCTCCACCGTTGCCACCACTTCCACCTATGCAGCCGTACCCTGTGCCCCAATATATGTCATCTGCTGGTACAATAGCGAGTGTACCATTTGGCTACAGTACAATTCAACAGCAGCAAGTCGCCGTGCCCGGTTATTCCCCCACATTTCCGGTCAATGGGGTTGCTCCGTTTGCAGCTGCTCCAACAAATACCTACCAGAGTTATCCAACTGAAGGTGGTTTTTATGGTCAGCAACCATCCTTGCCAATGGCACCCGTAAGTCGTCAGTAGAGTTGTGCTTGGGTTGCCGTGCTTATTAGGTTAGAAGCTTAGAGCAGTTGGTAGTACATGGATGCTTTCGTCATTCTGCATTTAAGAGTGCAACCGGGAGAAGGATGCATGAATCACACTGTTAAAGAGTATGTACATTGTGCTTAACAGAAGAAAGAGTTTGTAACTTGATTGCTTGATTTTTATTTTGATAATTTAGGGCTTGAAATGATTGCATTCAGTTGCAAGTTATACCTGTAAGAAATGGTCATCAGCCTGAGCCCTTCGTTTTTAATTGTACGGATACATTGCTTTGTGCATTAGAAATGGGCAAATGATTTGGCTTACCACACCAGTGCAAGTCACTGATAGTACTACTTCAAAATGCCAACATAACTTGACGGCAGTGAAAGTATAGGCAATATGAAGTTTGAACGAATGCTCTTTCCCTTCTAGTTTAGCGTATTTTGTAGGAGTGCTTCTTATTCGTCCTGCAGTTCTCGGACGCCAGTGACTCCTCCAGCTGCAGTTTGCAAATATAATTAATAGTAGTACAAAGATTGGCTTCAGAAAACGAAACGAACGCGGTGGTCATACTCAGCGTCAGCACCTGTTGTCTGTGTCAGCTTTTCCGCTCTGGGGCATGGGCGTGAAGTGCCCAAAACTTGCCTATGAACTGGATCGACCCCCCAGAGGCCAATGATGACATTGAATTGATGAGGCCCTGATCATCCATCCTCATGGTCTCGCGGTCTACAAGTTTATTGGGTCGGTCTTCTCAGTTCTTTCTTTCAGTATAATCTACTATTTTCCACCGACAATTTTTTATATTTTTCGTAGACATATTTTCTAATTATCTTTTTACCTCACATACATCAAATAAAAGAATTATCCCATTCATATATTCGTAGTAAATGGTTATCCCATTTCTCTAACAGAATTTACTTCTTCTTTTGGAAAATCAATTCTCACATTGGAGTGGTCGCAAGGACTGGTGATTATCGTCCTAAAACGTCTCTTTCTCTCGCTCTCCCTCTGTTTTTTTTTTGATTGGAGGGGGTGGAGAGGGAAGGGATCACACTATTTAAGGTGTATTGATCAATTTACAGGCACTAGATTCAGTTGTGCATATTCTGAACGATCCGTGAATGGCCAAAATTATTCCTTTTTATTGAATAGACAACGACGTTACATATTCTGGAGGTAGCCTACGGACTTTGAAATTCAAACACCACCATATTCCAACCTCAAGCTTTACAACAGTTGATAAAAATGTCTCTGTCCGGAACCTAATTCAAGATTTTGTCCCTCCTCCTCTAATTTTCAGTCTTTGATAAAATAAGGGCTGGAATCCTCTCTCTGACGTCAGAATTTGTCAAAATAATAATAATAATAATAATACAAGAAATGCGTGCTGCCAAGAAAAAAAAAAAATCGCCATATGTGATTCCGAATCCACATCACCATTTGGATTTAGCCTCAACGTACCTTTCCTTTGTATTTTTCAACTTTAGATTCTTCCGCCATTGTTTTTCTTTCTTTCTTTCATTTTTTTGGGGGTAAATTCGGGAGTGTCAGGTTTGAAGCAGATGATGAATTGTGGCCTTGTGGGTCTACGCCGACTATACGGATATAAAATGAACGGAATTAGTTAAAATTGCGATGTACTACAGGCTTAGCACTTTGGCCCTAAATAAAGCTTTTAACTAGTTGATTCGAGCCAAATATTTGATGTTAAAACTTTATTCGTATATTATATGAATTCGAGTTCGGTTCAAATATTAATAAATTACAAATGTTGTTAGAGTTCGATTCGTTTATTTGTATAAATACTTGAGTTCAAACTCGAGATTAATTTGTTAAACTATTTGAGTCGAATTCGATTTCGAACTCATTTTGGCACCTCTCTTTGTGTGGAGTATTTTAATTGATCAAAGGTTAATTACTAGATTTGTTAATAATTATTGATTTGGACCAAGCTAAAATTAAATTTCCCGTCGAATAATATTTACAAATTGTATTTTTTGGGTAGATACAGGTTGCATTTTATCATAGACAAGCAATCACCAACAGTACAATTTCCTAAAAGAAAATGTAATAGTTTTTTTTGTAATAGTATACTTTTTTCCCATTTTACAAGTGGTTCGTTTGATAAAATTGAAATCTAAAATTTGAATCCATTAAATTATTCAATTATTAAATGCTGAATCTGATACAATTTATTATTCTAATCTGAATATTGAATACAACATGTCTGTTAGATAATTATAGACAATTGAATACTAAATTTCATATATTTTTATATTTTTTCTTATGTTGATTTATTCAATAACGATGATGTTAAAATGTTATATTGTTATTTGTAATATACATGATTTAGTTTCATTAAAAATAAGATATTAAAAAAAGAACCGTGTATTAAAAATAAAAATATATTATAACAAATAAAATTATTTTGATACAATAAAGTAATAAATCTTGCATTTGTATTAAGTGATAAGTGAATAGTTTAAAACTTTTTTTAAAGTATGTCTTGTTAGGGAATTCAGAATCACTTAATTGATTAAGACGTTCTATTTTTTTTTAATTATCAAACACATATAAACATATTAAGGTTTAAATTCATTAAATTTAAGTGCTGAATTGGATTATCAAAATAGGGCCTTGTGAGCCTTGACTAAAATTTTTAATTTTTTTAGCACAAAATTCAAATCTTACACTCTCTCCATTCCACTTTGATTTTTTTTTTTCATATAATTTAAGAAAAAATAGTTAACTTTGCTACAAGCGCAAATCTAACCTACTATTTTCTTAAAGTATCCTTAAGTTAATATTAGGGTTATGACTAATTATTACTGTATCTTTTACATTAATCACAACAACAATACCAATAGAAAGGATGCACCGTTTAATGCATGAACCAAAGCAATATATATATATTGATGAAAAGTTGAATTACATGAAAAGAAAGAATCAACGAGCATTTTTAAAGTTTCCAATCAAAAAATTTCAGGTGCCTAATACTCCATTTTGTTTTCCATCATCAGCCAAGATCAATGGCCTCACTGGTTTCAACTTGGGCAAAAAAAATTCCCTGCATTTCAAAAAATAACTTGTTCATATTCATGATTTGTAGAAACGAAATCATACACTATTTTGTTGGAGTTTCATCGGAAAATTTGCGAGAATATGGATGACCTTTCAATTTTCACTCATGTTTTGAAAGCAATGACGACTTTTGGTTCTCTGAACTTTTATGAATAAGCTTAGAATGGTAACAAAGTTTGGTTTTTGATATGCCAATATATTTTAAAAAATTTAATTGTATTAAATAAGGTAGCTTATATTTAATGATAACAAAGATAAAAATTAGTTATATTTTTTCAGTTGAAAAGTGAATTATTATTTGAATCGAATAAAAAAAAGAAAAATAAGACTGTTAAAATGGTATGAAAGGAATAATAAAAAAAAAAAAGACGGTTAAAGTGAGATGAAAGTAGTAGTAAGTACTAGTATTATTTGAATCACGTATGGGTCAACACTGAAAGTTGACCAGATTGGGACTCAAGTTTCCCCTTCATCTATCTCTTTAACTGAAATTGAAAAGAACAAAATGGGACAGGACAGGAGAATGCAAAATAAAGAAATAGCAATAAATAAAAAGGCAAAATAGGGCGATGTTAATGAGAATAATAAAAGGAGGGGGGCATGGAGGGAGGGGGGAAAAAAAAAACAAAAAAAACACAAAGAAAGAGGTAGTAGTGTTAAAATAGAATTATAGAGAGAGAGAGAAAGAGGGTGGCGGAGAACGGAGTAGAAATGGTAAGAAAAGGGTAAAGCATGTTATTGCTATATTTTCACTGGTTCACTACTACTAATTGGCAATTGAATACAGGAAAGGGAGCAGTAGTGAGTGAGTAGAAGAAGAAGAGACGAATGGTATTGGTAGGGTAAGAGCGTCAAGAAGATCCGTGGTCCAACACGCCACCCCCATCCCCATCCCCCAACTTTCTCTTCTCCCTGCTACTAGTATTCGTATCATTATCATCATCATGCTACTGCTATTAGTTATGCGGAGTACTAATATTTAATCAATATATCTATGTATCACCGCCTGCTACTGCTGCTAGTAATTCCATTATTCCGTGTTTTTCTCTGAAGCTGAGTCTGTACGTGCCACCGCCGTTTCATCAATCCCATCTGAATACTCCACCGGTTGGAGGTGTTGTTGGTAGGTGAGGTGGTGATTTCGTGAACGGAGGGGAGGCGTGGGGAGGTGTCGGGGGGCAAGGTTCGATTTTTCTCCTAGAAAGAGCCGGCGCCGCCTGGTTTGATCGGACGAAAGGGTGTCTGGAGACTACTTCAGAAAAAAGAAAATTAAGGCAGGGGGTTTTCTTTGCAAATGCCGGAGGAGGACTTGGTCGAGCTCAAGTTTCGATTATACGATGGATCAGACATCGGCCCCTTTCGTTACTCACCGGCTTCAACTGTTGCTATGCTCAAGGAAAGAATCGTCGCTGAGTGGCCTAAAGGTTGGCTGCAACTCTTAAGTTTCCACCCTCCCCCCCCCCACCCCCCCATCACAAAAAAAAAAAAAAACAAAACAAAAATTTCTTCCCTCCCCAACATGCCTTCCCACCTAGTATTATCTCACTACGAGTATTTATAATCCATTTAGGGCCTTTTGGTTTTCGTTGATCAACAAATTTCTACTTTTCTGGTGCGTACTTTGCTTCTCTAATAGACTGCCTTAAAATGTTCTTTTATTCGGATGGGAGGGGTGGCCAAGGACGAAGTAGGAAGAGTCGAACAATTTCAGTTAGTCATGTATCCTGGTGGATTACATTAATTTTTAATAATCATCAGTGTCTCTTAACCTGCTGGACTGACCAGGCTTTTTTTTTTTTTTTTTTTTTGGGCAGGAAATGAAACTGATCTCACATAGTAGTTCAATTTGCCTTTTTCTCTGAAACCTTCCCTAGGCAGTGTACATCTTGTATGCCCTGCTTCCCTTTTAGCCATATGAATATCATAAAGTGTAAAAGATGAAAATGCTTTAAATTGATGATACATATTTCGATCAATAATAAGAAAACCTACATTATAAATGTCTTTTCTTATCCTACATCTTTTAGGAAAAGAAATATCTTTTTATTGCTCATGCAAGTGGATCAAACAAATTACCGCTGGAGGTGCATTTCATAGAAGAGTGATGCCATTTCTAACTCTATTTTCTTCTTTGGCACTTAACACCAACTCCAACCGGGATTTCAGTTACACTGGTGGCACTGCCCTACAACTAATTCCCATTGTCAGGGTTCTGGTTCATGTTCTTCGACAAATCCTGTTGTCATTTCCCACTTTAAGTTGTTCTATATGTATGATCCTTGCATGCGACTTTTCACCTTTACCTGGGTTTGAATTTCACTACGACAGCAAATCTTTATAAATTGGATCGACTGTATCCCGTCACTAATCTTAGGGTTTCTAGTTTCTCATCTCTTCTCTCTCTGTTTGCTTGTAGCGTTCTCCATTAACTTATCCTTCTTCCTCATTCATTCCCCTCCCCCCCCCCGGCGGGCCCTGTGGGCAAAATTTAGTAGTTCTTAGCTCCTCAGGGACTGGGCATCGCCCCAAAACTTGGAGTGTTAATGGGGTGTAAGCTTGCTGGAACTCGTGCCTCCACCAAAGCCTCAATGTAAGTCAGCCTCGCCTTGCACTGGGGCGCACCCTCAGACATCTCCCATAATTGCCTTTGAGAACAGTCATTGGTGCCTGATTTTGACTTGTTGAGTTTTCCTGTTTAAGCATATTAGATGCTCAGGTACGCTGGGGTATGCAGTTTTTAGTAACTAGCCTTAGAATTTTCCTGGGTATCATTTGGAATCTAAGGCTTCCTTAATCCGTTTCTGCTGATGTTCCTCTCAAAGCTGTTGCGCATGTTAACATTGCCTCATGTCAGTCCAGTATGGTATGCTTCCCTGTATGGAAATCTTACACTGCCTACCCCTAAGTTTGTTCATCTTGCCGTCTGGTAGGCACCAAGATTAAGGGCAAATACATCTCATCTTTCTGGCTTTTGGCTAGTTCCTTTCCTCCTTTATGTGCATTGTATGAAGAGAATAGCAATAGATAGAAAACTTAAAGCAAAGACACAAGCATAACGATATGGCATGCAAAAGCAACGGTTTTTACTTGTAAGTTTTTTTTTTCCTTCCAGCGTTTTTTGGAAAGTCGAAATGTCAAGTTCAACTTTCCCACTCACTGGGATATGGAATAGTAGCCTATCTAGCCTTTGGCTAGTGAGGGCTTGTAGGAGAATTTGACTTCTAGGCATAGAATTTTTTAAAAACTATTAATTTTATCCTACTAATTTGTCAACATGCCACCACTGACCGGAGGAAAATGTAGGTAGAAGAAGATTCATTTTTTACCCCATAATCGGTAAAAATTCAATATTAAATCAGTGTCTATGAGTAATTTCCATACAATATTTATTAAAAGAAACAAGTGATAGATTTTATGCATCATTAATGATGACTATAAGTACAAGTCCAATTATTTTAGCGTTTTAATCTACTAGTTAGTTTTTTTATATGCAATAGTTTGTACTTCGGTGAGTTGTAGAGTATTAGTGGGTTATTCGCATCCTCTTGAATTGTGTATTAATTACTTGCTATTGCTTACTACGTGTTAATTATTGTCACATACTATCTAGAGAACTAAAAGAACTTTATTTTGGCACACTGAACAGTTTTTCTGGCTCTGTCAATTATACGGAACTAAAGTATTTACCATTTTCCTTGTGCATGATGCCATTCGAGTAGCTAACATCAGATTTGTAACCTAGAGGTTTGTTACAGTTTCAGCATTGCTAAATGTCCTTTATATCTCAGATAAGAAAATTGCACCAAAGGCCGCAAATGATGTGAAATTAATAAGTGCTGGCAAAATTTTGGAAAACAACAGGACTGTTGGCCAGTGCAAGATGCCTTTTGGGGAGTTGCCGAAAGGTGTAATCACAATGCATGCTGTTGTGCAGCCATCTTTAGCTAAAGCAAAGACAGGTTAGTCAATTTTATCCGATTTGTACCTCCATGCAGTACAAATTTTGTGCTTCCAATCTCTGGGTGTTATTCCATTGGGTATCCAATCGTGATTTGTGCACACCAAAACTTCACTTCTTAAAATTAGTATGTCTAACCTTTTTTTACTGTAGCTTTGTTTTAGCTGAAGACTAGAGAAATAAAAATGGTGTAATTTATTGTTGTCACAAGTAATTCTTTGTTCCAGTGTTTGAAGTAGGTTTGTCACGGGATGTGGCCCAAGAGTGTCTCCGTGGTACTTGAGATAGCTCAAATTGTAATAAAACGCTGGTAATGTATGGTTTTCTTTCAGTCTGCCCATCCTACATGCAGTTTGGGCTATAGCTTCTTAGATCGTACTAATAGAGATGAATTGCTAGTGTATTGGACAAATTTACGGCAGTGGACCTGAAAAGAATTCGTGAATCACCCTTCTTGTATATCAACCTCCTCCCCCTCCCTCTCCATGTACTTACTTTCTATAGCCTCCCTGCCCCCACTCACGTTGTAAAGGAACATTGTGAAATGGCTAGAATTTCAGGATCATAGTTCAATAAAACAGGAATCTCAGAAACGATTGCTATAGCGCACTGGACAAACTTACATGAGTAGACCTGAAAGACTTTCAGAATCACCTTTCCTGCTTTACTTTGATCATTTGTATGTCAACCTCCTCCCCCTCCCTCTCACATGTGCTTTCTGTCTGTTGCCTCCCCACCACCACTTGCGTTGGAAAGGAACATTAGTGAAATGGCTATAATTCAGGATCATGGTCCAATAAAACTAGAACCAACTGTTTTACTATTTGGAAGTATTGCTGCATAATTTAAAAATGTTTCTAAGACCTGGATTTTGCAATTTTAGTAGGAATGGTGGGAATGATTGGGTTGCAACCACTGAAGGTTATGATGTTTTTATATTTGTTGCATCACCCTAGCGGCAGCATGGAAATGCTATTTGTGATCAAGAACATTCAAGGACTAAGTCAGTCATTCATAAATCTCAAGTCAACCGCACAAATGGAACTACCATTGTATCTGTACAAAACAACTTGCATCTTTGCTTGAGTAGTATTTGTGCCATTTAACTGGAAACGACAGATCTGAGGTTGAGAGTCCTATGACTGATTGGAGTGTATTGTGGTGGTGCGTACTGTAAGGCTATGAAAGTAGGCACGAGAGGGAGGGTTTGGTTTTGCTTATTGTTTTTCCCTCCTTTAATTTCTGTTTAAGAGAAAGTTTGCTAAAGTTATCAATCGACTTCCGTAAAAGAGAAGTACTTCCTGGTCTTTGGACTTTATCCAAATATATCTGATGGATAACTAAATATAAGATTTGGAGGCGAAGTTTCAACTCCACTATTACTCCACAGGGTTGTTTTTAGGAAAAATTACTAATTATTGGATACTAAATTTATGAACTTTGTAAAGCAGAAAGGAGCTTGTTCATTAAACACTTTAACAATTACTGGAGACTATTGCTTAAAACGTCTGGAATCTTAGAGATTTCGCGCCAGAGTAACAATTGTAGTAATTCCAGTGATGATGAGGAAAGATAACAACATATAATCAACAGACAACTTGAGTATATCCAATATCCTTTTTGCGGGCAGGGGGGGGGGGGTGTTGGGTGGGGAATAAAGAATTTGTAATGTTAATTTTAGTCGGGCAAGATCATTCCTTCCTCTTCGCGTTCTTCCTCATTTTCACGTGATGTTCAATCTCCTTTTCTTCTCTCTGTTTGAATGACTGCTGAAGGGTAATTTGTGTGTGTCTAGCAGAAAAGAAGGTTGAGGAGGCTCCAAAGAAAGGCATCTGTGCGTGTTCAATAATGTGAGGTGAATCTCTTGGGATCTTTGCGTTTACCTGGTTGTGGAATTTGTAGTCAGAGAAAACAATAGTAATTTGTAAACTGTGTTCACCGCATTGTTTGGTGTTGCCATGTTGTTATGATGTACGTGTGTTACATATGGTACATTTGTATTGTGGTATTTCGTGTACATTTGTAGCTGCAGAGTTACAGTTTACTATACATGATGAATACAGGCCATGTATGTGGCTGAAGCGAATACCCTGGAAAAAAGGGCTTTTTTTTGGGGGGGGGGGGGGGGGGAATACAGGCCATATGTGTGTGTGTGTGTGAGTTTACATCAGCTTCTGTTCTTAGTTCTTACTACTACACGACAAGTCCAACGAGCAATATCTCGTCGTGTGGAAGTCCATTCCTAGGGTCCTTGATAGGACAGGGTTCCGTTGATTCCATTTCAATGGCGCATCAATTGAATACTACTTGAGGAGAATTGCCGTTTGATGATTCTGTCTTCGTTCCAGACTCAGTCTCGGTACTGTTATTGTTCTGCGTTTCCGAAGTTATCAATGATAGTTAACAATAATGTCACATATGATTGATCCGAATTCCCAAAGTTGTCAATTACTATAAACACTGGAGGCTCTTTTTATTCTTTTACTGTATAACAGATGTTAGCTCAAACTGAAGATCAGAACAAGAATTGCCCTGGCTTGAAAGGAAAGATTGGGGGCTGGAGATGGTAGGACTAGGTCTTTTTTCTCTCTTAGTGCTTGCATACAAGCGAATTAAGACTATGAGGAGGACTAGCACTTAAAATGTAGTAATGCAGTAGTTACGACCCTTTTCTCGCCGGTGCTCTTCTTCGACATGACCCAAGGGTATGAAGAATCTGAGATACAAAGACCCAAAAAAAAAAGAAAAGAAAGATAGGAACGCGACGTAAGAAGGAACAAAGATGACTAGAATAGAACAGAGCAATGCAGAAGCACCGCCATGATGAGGAGGATGATTCTTACTAGCACCGCCATGCAGAAGCAGCGACAATGGCTCTGTCCTGCCATCCCAACAGCAAGCAACCCTTGTCCTCCGTCAACCTATACCCCTCGCACGAATACAACCCTAACAATATTTTCGACTGAGTCACCGCGTTCGCGCTCAGCCCCACCCCTCTGTACCCCTTCCCTTCCATTATCTTCCTCCATTTCTCCAACCTCTCGTGCCTCCTTACCCTCTCCCGCCCCTCCTCCGCTACAATGTTCCTTATCTCCGGTGCAAATATGTACTGCTCCACCTTCGCCCTCTGAGCCGACTCCGCCGGAAATGTTGCATCCAGGGAGTCGAATATCGCCGAGTAGTAATGCAGCGCCTCCAGGAATCTGCCCAAGAAGTAGGGCCCGTTGTGGCTCGCCTCTTGCTCCACGATGGTCACTATGTTCGGCGCTTGGTCCCTGATCATGCCCAACAGATTCCCCAAACTGTTCCCTGGGACCCAGTGCAACCGGTTCACCGAGTTCACCGCCAGAGCCTCACCCACCCTCCTGTTCAACATGTGCGGCTTCAGGTCCTCCAGCTGCTCTCCCACTGGGTGGAACTCGAATGGGATGTGGAGGGAGTGGGCCAGCTCAGTCAAACATCGCCCCGTTTCCCTCACCGCCTCCGGGTAGGGTCCGACTCCGGTTATCCGAAGGAACGGTGCTCCTCCGGGTCTCGCTGCCAGCGCTTGCATGAAAGCCGCCACTGGTAACCTTGAAGGATGTCTAGATCGATCACATGCACTCGCTCTTCGGCTTCAAAGGCCTCGAAGATGGCTTGGTTGGCCGTGAAATGAGCAAATTTGATGTAAGGGCAGGCTTGGTAGAGGATCTGGTAGATCTTGAGGATTTCCAGCGAGTTTGGGGGGAAAGGGTTAAAGGGCCTGGAGGCGGCAGTAGTAGGTTTGGCCGTGAGGGTTGCTGCGAGTCTTGCTCCCAAGGCTTCCGCGAAGCACGAGGCAACCCGTTGCATGGAATCTCCAAGGGGAGTCACCACCCGGTTGAGGTGGTGAAGATACCTCCTGGCTAACATGTAGTCTTCTTTGGCGACTGCTTCGGCGCAGGCAAGCAGAAGGTGCACCAAACGGAGTCCGCTATCCTGTTCCTGTACCAGTACCAACAAGTCAAACAACAGCAGCAGAGTCACGTACATGCATCTATATATATATATACACACACACATCAACCCGCCCGCTAGAGCTAGTTACGATTTATTCGAGCTCATGTAATTCAAAAGTAACGGATTCTCTCAATTACCTGTTCTGGTCCGATTGAAAGAGGCTGCACCATCAGGCTGGAATTCAAGTTCATCTCTACTGGCGGGGGGTTGGTGGTTCGGTCGATGAGATATTGATCCTAGCTGCTGTTGCTTTTCTTGCTGCCTTTCCTGTTGCAATTGCTGGAGTAACGGGGCGGACTCGCCGGAGCTGCTGAATTGATAAATACTACTAGTAGTGGTACTAGTGTCATTATCTTCAGTATCGGCCATGGATGCACAAAATCTTGAGCTGGCAGCAGGATTTGGCATTGTCAAGCACTCCAATAGTTCTGGGACCGAGGATAAATCAAAACAGTCGGAGGAACTAATTCCAGCAATATCTGGACCTTTACAGCTGTTTGAGTAGGAACCCCCAAAATCATCATCATCCTTGTCCAGGTCGTCCAAGAACTCAAGAGCTGGCAAGGAGAGGCTCTCCACCTGCATATACTCGTGGTTTGGAGAATTGAGAACCCTGTGGAGTGGGCTCAGACCTTTACCTTTATCTCTATTATAAGGTCCCAGTGGGGATGACATGCGGGGCGGAGAGGGAGAGCACACCATCAGACTCAGCCCATGCATAGCCTGAGCCTGCGCGTGGCTGAAATTGTAGCTGCTGCTGTTGTTGTTAATAATATCATGAGTAGTAGTAGTATTTTGGTAGCCTGAAGCTGCTTGGGGAGCGGGAGAGGAGGAGGGTGCAATCCTAACTGGGGAAGAGATCATAAAATCCCCCTCCAATTGATCTGCAAAGAACTCCCACAAGCAACGGTCAGGGGATTGAATCTCAACGTCCTGGTCCGGCTGGAGTTTGAGAGCCGGGAATTTGAGGCTAGGTGGAACCAGGCTGGTACCAGATGCGTGATCGTATTGGGAGGAAGGAGGGGTAGGTGTCTTTCTTGATTCTGAAACAGCTGATTCATTTGGAGAAGAGGGTCGCAATTTAGTAGCACAGGAGTTGTCTGATCTGCTTACTAGACCTTCCATTATGGTCGGATCAGCGGTCTCCTTCTTGAAACTCCCAGCGTCGCAAGTCCGGAGGTTCCCCACCTCACTCTTCAAACTCTCCATGCTCCCGCACAGAGAATTTATCATTCTTCGCTAGCTGGCCCCCTCCAGTCCAGGCGGGCTCCAACTATTGGTGGATGTTATTACTACTTACAAGGAGGAGGCGGAGGAGGAGGAGGAGGCGGAAGTAGTAGTATATGTTTTATCAGACCAATTAGTTCAAAGCAGGTGTTTTCCAATTAATCTGGTAGGATTATTACAGAGCGCTCCCCCTCTCTTAAGCACGATTCTGGTTGCAGGTAATAATTTGCCCACGTACGCACGCATCAGTCGGTCTGCGTAGGGGCGTTGGTTTTGAATTTGGATGGCGAACAAATAGAGGCAGAGCAGAGAGTTTGGTGTCTCTCTTTCTTTTTATCGCCCCACGTTTTGGCATATTGTCCAGATTGTATCGCAAGAAATTGAAGGTTAAAAATAGAAATGTCAAGACAAAAAACTGCAGTTTTAATTTCAAGTGCTTGGAAGTTACTTGGTGATGATGATGAGCTCCCGCAACGGTTGTTTTCCAGGCGAGACAGTAGTAGTTTTTATGTACTCGTATTTCTTTCTTTCTTTCTCTACAGGGAAAAATGGGCATTCTAAAAAAGAGAGAGAGGAAAATACCGCCCGCAACTCACAAAGCTACCTACGTATTTAACTTTCGCCATCAACTATTCAATCGCGCAAAACAAACCTGTCGGCCGTGGTCCGTCTACGGTTGGGACTTTTTTTTTTTTTTTTTATGTATAAACAAAAGCTATAATGGTACTTTACTAACAGATTTTAGCATTCGGCATTCTCTTTTTTTTTTTTTTGTTGCAGTGGTAAAATTTCTATAATTTAATTTAACATAATCTATTTATTTATTTATTTATTTTTGGGTTAAAAGATGTAGCAGCGAATTCGAAGATGTTATCACAAATTAACCAACCAGTACCGTGTTCATTAACCACAACCGCCCCTTAAAAATTTTTTAAAATTTATTTAATACGCCACCCAATACACAGAGATGAGATCCTATTTTTACTTTAAAGAAAAATGTGAAAGCTGATACAGCCCTAGCTGAGGCTAGAGACAATTTGGTGTGAAATGGGTCCCACTCTCCTTGGGCCGGCCCATCCAAGAACAAGGTTTCGGGGATCGAAAATTTGGTGATTGGTCGAAGGGGAATGATTGGGAAAGGCAGGTCCCGTGCGGATGGAGATATTCCATCAGTCATCATACATAATTTAATGACCAAGATGAACCTTAACGTATATTATTATTATAAAAAAATTGCGAGGCTACCTTCTTCGGTTTCGCAATGTCTGCGGGAGGAGATTTTTGCGGTTAAAAATTTTGAAAACAAAACACAAATGGCCCTTCCTTTCATTGAATTTGTGTCGTTTTCAGCTCTCACTTGAATAAGATTTTACCTAGGGGTGACAATTGGGGGTGAAAATTGGCTTCTTTATCGTATTCGTATAGAAAAATTTCAATTCTTATACACCTCATTAAGTGTTCATGTCAAAAAATTTCAATTCTGATCCAACTCATTCAACGTTCCTGTGTTGGCAAAAGTGTTTGCTGACACTAGCCGACTACGGAGATGGTGGTGGATTGAGATAGGGGAAGTAAGAAGAAGAAATGAATGATGGTAATTGTTTTTGTATATTTTTTAGTATTTTAAAGTGTATATTTTAAAAATTTTAAGAAATTTTTTGAGATTATAGTAATTAAAACTGTTAAAAAATTTGTAAGAGAAGCATTCGGTAAAAAAACTCTTTTTCCAAACAGATCCATAACCACTCTTTCAATTAAAAATAAAATATCATATTTGTCATTCAATATAATTTAAAAACATAAAAAGGATAGGCACTTTAATAAAAGACCAACATTAGTGGTACTTCCCTTCCAAAACTCCCAAACAAGGGATAATTTCAGAAACCTTCCTTGAAATTTTTGACTATTTTACTGGCCTTCTTTCAAATTTTAAAAATTACTCTAATTTCCTTTGAGATTAATTACATTGTAACATTTAGACCCAATCGATAATTAAAAAGTGATATTAGAAGAGAGAAGATAATATAATTTCATCATTATCCCTCATCTATTACATTATTTAATTAATTTAATCGTAATCCATACATTAAAAAATGTACTAAATTTTGATGTTTATCATTAGGGATCAAATCATATATAGTATCAAAAAAGTAGTATATCTTTTTTTATTTTTCACTTAATACAATATCCAAATTACACTTTTCAATTACATACTCATTATCAAACATAATCAACAATAAATAATCAAAAAATTTGCAACCAAAATATTGCAGAGAGCAAATTTTAACATCATAAATATTCTTGTGTAGTTGTTGAAATTTTTATGGTATTAAACTTCACATTTTGTAATATTTTAGTTACAGATTTTTTTATTATTATTTGTAGTTGATTATGTTTGATAATGACTTTCTCACTAAGAAGAGCAATTTATATCTTATATTAATTAAAATATACAGAATGATATACTATTTTTGATGTCATATGTGATTTAATCTCTAATGATAAACATCAAATTCTATTATTTTTTTATTAATGCTTGGACGGGTATTAGATTAATTAAATAATTTAGTAAATCAAGAACAACAATGAAATCATATTATTTTCTCTCTTTTATATTATTTTTTAATTGTTGGTTGGAGGTATATATCACAAGATAATAAATCTCAAGAGAGATTAGTGTATTTTTTTAAAATCTAAAGGGAGCCCAGTGGAATAGTTAGAAACTTTAGGGACGTTTATGAAATTATCCCCAAGCAACTAGGGTTTCTCTGCACTTCCATTCTCTGCTTTTCTTTTTTAATTTAACCTTTCTCATCTTTTCTTTTCTATCCTAAACTCCCAAACTAAGCCCTAGGGTTTTTGACGTCGCGCCGTCGTTTCTCCAAACCCCTCAGGCAACGAAATGGTAAGGCGGCTCTTCACCACCAAGTTATTTCTGTCTTCTCGATGATGATTGTTGCTGATACACATATATGCAGATGCTGCATTCTAATTTCCAATCTTTCGTTTGGTTTTGAAAAAACCGACAACTCTCTGACATTTTGATTCCTTTGTGTTGTCATTGATGGATGATTTTTTTGTTTTGAAGGCTCCAAAGAGAGGTGCGAGGGCTCCAGCTGCAGTGGCGAGGAGGAAAACCGAGAAGGTGGCGAATCCTCTGTTCGAGAAGCGTCCGAAGCAGTTCGGAATTGGAGGAGCCCTCCCACCGAAGAAGGATCTCACCAGGTTCGTCAAATGGCCTCTCAACGTCCGGATCCAGAGGAAGAAGAGGATCCTCAGGCAGCGCTTGAAGGTTCCTCCGGCGCTCAACCAGTTCTCCAAGACTCTCGACAAAAATCTTGGTCACCTCTCCCTCACTCGCTTTTTATTTATTATGTTGTTTCCCTTTTTTCTTAATGTTATAATATGATTTTTATCGGGACTCTGAGTTCTTCACCTTGATTGCACCATCTTGACAACCCTGGTCTGGTATTTTACTGCTATAAAGAAAAATCCAGTTATTTTCTTGACATAAATCTGTGCTCTCTCGCATATTGATCACCTATTGCATTTGTAATCCTACTTCAAATGCTTACTCATTCTTATTCTCCCCCCCCCCCGGGCGGATGATTGCGTAGAATAGGATCCCATGGTTGAGCAGGGCAAACGGTGTTGCTGTGACTAAATAGGAAATGAAATCTTTACGTAAATTTAAAAATCATTCTTTTATGGTTCTTATCCAACTCGATATGCCAGATGTGGTAAATAGAAAGAAATTGAGGTTGCTCGGAGCATAATATTTGTACATGGTAACTGTAGTTTGTTTTCCCCTATAATCTCTTGGATTACTAGAAACTGAGTCGTAATGTTTTGCTCTATCTGTTGTCATGAAATTGGTAAAAGCTAATAATTTGCTGTGGTAGATTTGAGGGAGTCTCTAATTTTGTCCCTATTTTATTAATACCAGTCAAGGAGATATCTTGTTTCCTTTCGGGGTTGCCATTTCACTGCTTCGTTTTTTCTCTTGCCAATGTATGTATTTTCTGATGCTTCCTTTGATATGCAGCAACAAATCTGTTCAAGATGCTTCTCAAGTACAGGCCTGAGGACAAGGCAGCCAAAAAAGAGCGTCTTCTCAAGAGAGCTCAAGCTGAGGCTGAAGGGAAAGCTTCTGATGCTAAGAAGCCAATTGTTGTCAAATACGGTTTAAAGCATGTGACGTACCTTGTTGAGCAGGTCTTTATCCTACTTTTCTTCTATACTCTGTTGGTTTTCTGTAGTGTCTCACTCTTGGTAGTGCAAGCTGTGGCTCATAGAAATTATTTTCTGCAGAACAAGGCACAATTGGTGGTTATTGCTCACGATGTGGACCCAATTGAGTTGGTTGTTTGGCTTCCTGCTTTGTGCAGAAAGATGGAAATTCCCTATTGTATTGTGAAGGGAAAATCGCGATTGGGAGCGGTAAGTTTCCCTCTTTGTGGAGCCTTTTTGGAAGCTTTTATTGTAGCCAGGACTGATGTAATTCACACTCTCTCGCAGATTGTTCATAAGAAAACTGCATCAGTCTTGTGCCTGACCTCAGTGAAGAATGAAGATAAGTTGGAGTTCTCGAAAATTTTGGAGGCCATTAAGGTGATGCATAATTTCGTAGGGGTTGTACAAGTAATGATATTTCCTTGCCTTAAAAACTCATCTGACATTATGATTTCTCCTGACAGGCTAACTTCAACGATAAGTATGAGGAGTACAGGAAAAAGTGGGGTGGTGGAGTCATGGGGTCCAAATCTCAAGCAAAAACCAAGGCGAAGGAGAAGCTTCTTCAAAAGGAAGCCGCTCAGAGGATGTCTTAGAAAGAGCGATTTTCCTCCTTGTCCTGATTTTTATTTGCGGCTTTAGATTTTTTGCTTCTGACATACATATGTATTTTTGGTAGACATTTATTTGGCATGTTTGATTATCAAAACTTCGTGCAATAGTTAAATTTTGTGTTGACTGCTTGCTTTATGAATGGTAGTTGTTTCCTTGAGTTGTGGCTAATGGTATCGGAGAACCATAAATGATGTTGGCCGAGTTTATAATTGGCATTGAGCGCGGTTTGGTTGGTCATATTTGGGCCGCTTGACTGGTGAGAAAGAACTGTGTGTTAAGGACCTGCGGACTAGTTTGAGAGTTTAGGAAGGGAAAGAGAAAGAAGGCAAAACTTTTAATGGGGAGAGAGGGGAAGAGAGTATCTCTCTTAAGTTGTTTGGGAGTATTGGCTGGAAAATGTCATAATGTTGGACCTTTGCTCATGTTCCATTCTCGTTGTCTGTTTGAATTATATGTCAGGGACAAATATGAGGTTTAATAGTTCCCTTATTTAAGTGTTCATTCCACCTCTTCCCGCTAATGGGAGGGGAAAAAAGTGGGAGTGGGTAGGCTTAAGAATTCTTCCACTTCTCTTGGGAAATGTTTATTTATTTAGTTTGGGAGAATGAATGTTTATTTTTCCCTTTGAAATATAAACATTTTCATTAAAACATTTAGTACCCAATAAGCCAATTGATTTTTTTATGAGGCTGAAAATGCCAAATGGGCATTGAGGTCGTGGATCTCCCTGTAAAGATGAATCAGGGAGATCTGTCTGGTCTTGAGAGGCTGGTCAGCATGCAGCTTATTTGGTTGCTTAGATGGATATTCTTCTTAAATTGAGAAGAAAGAATCACGATCAGGAATTGGGTATGTCTACTACCGCCGGCTGCTCTGATATCAAGATTCCCTGTTGCAACTAGTCTTCCGTTCTTGCCTGTCACTGAACTGAATTTCGCAAGATCGTGTCGTCCTCTCTGCTATGTTTAGTGAATTTAATTGTTTGTCAATAATCGCCCTAAGGTCAATGCGGGTGGAGACTGCTGATGCTACTATACCACCAAGGATATGCTCTAGCTTGCAAAATGGATCAACTTAGGACCCTCTTAGGGTTGAAATCACATGTTACAAAGTAATACATAGGCTACTAAGGAAGTTAAATCCCATTTTCACAGTTTGTAAAGCTTAGATTACGCAGAAAGAGTTGATTAATACGAGATCCTCGTATTACCCTTTGTGCGGAGATATAGATCATGCTCAATCTCTCTAGTTGGCTCAGCATGATGGTTTTAAAAAATAAGAGATTAAGCAGGGGACACAGCCAAAAGTTTTAGCCTCAGTTTCAGCACTGATCATTGTGCATATTTACATGACAACAGTGAGACATATATAATACACGTCAATAATGAGATTAAAAATAGTGAGATACACATATATACAAACCTACTCAGCTATTACAGATTAAACAATTTACGTTTCATTTTATTCTTCACAAAATCTAGAGCTACTTGGATACAAGCCAAATTAAATGCCAGTTCTCGCTTTTCTTTCTGCTTGGCCTGGTGCTGGTTGGAAAAAAAAAAAAAAGGAATAAATGGCAGAGATAACTCTTTAGGTATTCGACAGCAGTACTTCCCCTGACCGCGAGAGGACGATGTATTATCCTGAAGGAGGATAAACATTGGATCATTGTCAGAAAGACTAAGCTTGTTTTGAACTGTCTTGTTTACTTTTAACTGGTTTTAGCTGATTTTAAGCTAAACAAAGTCAATCAAGGTAAGGCAGCCTTTTTCCAACAATGGCTTCTCTTTGAGTAGCTTAGAAAGGTTTGAGCAGATTAGGACAGGCCCTAAAAGCATTAAGACTTAAACTGGTGATTGCCACATGTATTCCAATTTTACCACCTCAAGAAAAAGCCCACTTCAGCCCTTGCTACCGCAATGATCAAAGAGTTTTGACAAAGCAACAACTGTTTTAGCAAGGACTAGGTACCTCGAGTGCCATGGTGCTTGAGGTTCTCATTTTCCTTGGTTTGAAATTCTTGCCAACAGCAGAAAACAGTGAAAAAGGGGGAAAAAAATCTCACACTATGCAAAGCCAAGATAAGCGTACAAGCCAAAAGAAGATCCACCTACATAGGCTACATTCCCTGGACAAGCCGCCAAAAGACTTTCACGCGGCAATTTCTTCAAGAACTACTAAACAGATCTCATTCTCAGTCAATTGAACTACTAACGGTTGCGGATTTCACAAGTTGGAAATACCGTCAGTCGATGAATTGAATGTGCAAGAGAAAAGGCGGTGAGGAATTGGTACAGGGCCAGTTTAGCTTCGAGTAGGTCCTCGGCTTGTAATATCCCTGGTTCCAGAACCACATCCGACGGGATAGAAATCAAATCAAGGGCAAGCAAATACGTCCACCTACAGCCTTAACGCTTTGAATTATGGACCCTCTTCGAGAAACATTGCCTTGTGCGAGAATTAATTACGTAGTAACTAGTTGATAACCCTTCTCATCTTAATTTTACTAGTCATTTTACTCTTGTTACTGCCATTGGCTGCTGCCTTTTTGCCCCATTCTTTGTCGCCAATCTAGCAACTGCAGTCTACAGCCAAAATGCAGTTTCTGTGATAACCCTAATTTGCAGCATTTCTGCTAGAGATACAAAAAATACGATTTACGTAACTTTTTTATCCTTTTTTTTTTGCTGTACTATGCTTTTAATACCATTTCAGTAGTTACGTATTTGCCGCTGAAAAAGGATTATTTCCTCTTAGGTAAAGTTTATCTTTTTGCTGTTTGGATTGCAAATTTATCTCAAATAATATTTCGCTTGTATCATAAACACATCTCACAATCCACCTTTTTATATTCTCAACTACTTTTTATCTCACATACATCACATCACAAAAAGTGCTACAGTAATTATTCCAAATAATATTTCAAATAATACTCTATCCAAACACATGTATACATTTAGTAAGTGCTTCAACATCTAAATACGATTAGATTATAAACCTTTGTGACATATGCGGGGGATCACTCAATTATTCATATCTCCAACCGTAATAATCACAACGAGTTGAGTTCTAACATTATTACTGATTACATTTTCCAATCAAAGAAATTCAGACGGCAATTAAACATGAGTTTCATGTTGATGTGTCATATAAGAAGGCCTGGTATGCTCAACAACATGCCATTAATATCGTGTATGGCTATTTGCCCACCTCCATAGTTAAACTTTTTATATATATACGGGAATTAGTGACGGTAAATCTAAGCATGTCTGTAGTTTGGAAATACCATCCACATAGTATTATTGGCTGCACAATTTTTCACTTTGTGTTTTGTGCGTTTGACAGCGCCATCCCAATTGCTACCAATTAATGCATGCATATAGTATTTTTTTTTTTTTTCGATACGATAGCTTCCTACATTATGGAGAGGGGGAGGACCTGAAGAAGTTCTGGGGTAAGCCGGAGGGGACTGAACCACCATCGGACCAGACGGGTGCATCTGAATTTTTTAAGCAATGCCACATTTAATTGTGACAAATTAGTGAGAGGCAAGATTTGAATCCTTGCCTCCCATCCCACCAAGTTTTAATGCATTGGTGGTGGCCGCTTGCCCAAAGGCTAGTGGTTAATGCATGCATATAGTATACACTTTCAATAATTTTAGGGTTTATGTGATATTTTTAACATTTTAAGGACACTAAGTAAAATTATCAAAAACCTCAAGTGAGATTTCTAAAATTATCCCCAGTATAAAAACAGGAGTTGTGGGGTTTGTGGAGCGGATTGTGGATTTTTGTTGGGTTGAAAAAGAGAGTGTGGGTAGCTATTAGCTTTTTTACATCGCCATCTGTATGCTGTTCCGAATGGCTACAGGTTCTGCAAAATTTTCCACACAGCACATACATTGGAGATGCAACTGCCTTACCACTCCACAAGATTTGGGACAAGAGGCACATTGACGAATGAATTTCATACCGAAATATTTTTTTTCATGTAAAACTTCCCTAATTTCTATTATTAAAATTTCTCACTTCAAATTTCATGACACTCTAGGATGATTTTTTTTGCATTTTTTAGTATTTTAAAGTGTATATTTTAAAATTTTTTAGAAATTACTGTTATTAAAGTTGTTAAAAGACTTGTAGGTTAAAACTTTGATAAAAAAACTCCTTTGCCAAACAAGCCCATAACCAATCTTACAACTAAAAATGAAATTTCATATTTGCCCTTCAAATATAATTTAAAAACATAAAAAGACAAGCACTTTAGTAAAAGACCAACAGTAGTGATGTTTCCATTCCAAAACTCCTAAACAACGCAGTTAGGGTTTTTAAATTTTTTATAACATACTCAATCCAATTCAAATTATATGATTAAAATACTCATTTTAGGAAATAGAAAATAATTTCTTTCCAATAATGTCCTTTTATTGCCTTAATTTTTTTAATTGTTCGTGTAATAATCATATGTTAAAAATAAGGACAAAAACTATGAAAATGTTCTTTTTTTAAAGGAACAATGTATAATAATTGCAACCATAAACAATATATATTTTTTTAAATACAAACAAATAATAAAATTTTATTTAACATGTTTTCAAATTACAAAGTAATTTTTTCCTTTAAGCTTTGTCTATTTGGTACTTCACGGTCACGTAGGAAGAAAGAAACCCGATATTATTCTGATTGTTTATTTGACAAAAATGTAGAATTCTTCTACAAAAGTGTTGCAATTAAGGAGGCTAGTTAAAATCTAAAAACTTTAGAATTTATCCAACCTTTATTTATCCATATGTTTATCACATGCCCTTAGATTATTAAATGAGAAAAATCTTTCTTTTTATGTAACATATTTTGTTTGAAATTAATAAAATTTATGAACTATTTAAAATATTTAATTTTTATTTATTTGAATCAATGGCTTGAAAATTTAGAAAAGGGGAAAATTTTTAAATTATATTATAGAATTTATTTGAGATATTTAGAAGATGAAAAAGTTATTTTTTCCATATCTTTACAATATTTCAAATAGTTTTTAAATACTTTGTTAATTATTTATTATTTTCCAATTTAAAATTTTGTCTCCAAATTATAGATAAGATTTGTTAAAAAATTTCTTAACTCTAAACATATAATTTTTTTACTAAAAAACACATCCATCAAGTTTTCAAATATGAAAGGATTTTAAATTGATTTGTGATTACAACTAAGGAATCACATAAAAAGGCAACTTTGGAATGAAATAATTTTCTCTTTCCTAAACATGGTATTTTAATGATATAATTTGAATCGGGTTGAAAATGTTACAAAAATTTGAAAATAAGGGGATAAGTGATATTTTTAAAAATTTAAAGGTGTTAAATAAAATTATAAAAAATCTCAAGGAGATTTCTTAAATTATCCCCAACATAAAAACAAGAGGTGTAGGGTTTGTGGAATGGATTGTGGTTTTTGTTGG